GTAATCAAGCATCTTCAAATGCTCGGATCGAAAGACCATACCCAACTTGCCAACGGAGCCCTTTGGAAAGGAGATCTCGACCATGTAGAATGCTACGCCAACCCCATGATGGGTTTGAACCTAACTGTGCCTCCAAGAAATTCGCAGAAGAAGCATAGTATTTCCCGCAAAGAAATCGAGATAACATAGAGGATTCCACGAGGATACGCCATGCCACTTTAGCAAGAAGTGCTTGATTAAAACAACCGAAGTATCGGAATCCCAACCCTCCTTCGTGCATGCTGCTACAAAGGGTTTTCCAAGCAATCCAATGTATGCGCCTCTGCCCTGCCGTCGCCCCCCCCCCCACCAAAATCGAGCCATGTGCGAGTTCAAACGACGAATTAAGTCCTTTGGAAGCCAGAAGCATGACATAGTGTAAATTGGTAATGCTGCTGCCACTGATTTGAGAAGAACTTCCCTTGCAGCAATCGAGAGGGAACAGATTTTCCAACCCTGCAACACTGTCATCAATTTCTCTTCAACAAAACGGAAAGTCTTCTTCTTAGATTTATGAACCAAAGAAGGAAGACCCAAGTAACGATCTAGCAAACCAATTGACCCCACCCCCAAAACCGAACCCAACAAACTTTGAGAGTGCGAATCCATATTTGGACCGAAGAAAGCTGCAGACTTAACTAAATTGAGACGTTGGCCACTGATACCTTCATATTCATGAAGCAACCTCATAAGATTATCTCCATCCCTCCGAGAAGCACGAAGGAATAAAAAAAGAATCGCCCGCAAAGAGAAGATGAGAAATCGAAGGACAAGAAGGTGCAGCACGGACGCCTTATAGCTCATGACGAGCAACCATTTCCTTAATCTTAGCAGTAAAACCTTCTCAGCACAAAGCAAAAAGAAGGGGAGAGAGCGGGTCACCTTGACGTAGTCCACGGGTGGAAGAAAAGTACCCTGAAGGTTTGCCATTGATCAAGACCGAAAAAGTAGCAGTGCACACACATTCCTTAACCCAATGAATCCAATCAGCCGCAAAACCCAATTTATGCAGAACCTCAAAAAGGAATGGCCACTCAATCCGATCATAAGCCTTCTCCATGTCCAGCTTAATGGCCATAAATTTCGATCTCCCTTGTTTCTTATTTTTTATGAAATGCATGAGTTCATGGGCTATCAGAACATTGTCCACAATTTGTCTTTCTTGAACAAAACCGTTTTGTTCTTCTGAGACTAATTGAGGCAATATCTTCCCCAACCGAGTAGCCATAATCTTGGTTCTTACCTTATAAAGAAATTGGCACAAGCTTATGGGACGTAACTGAGAAACCTGTTCAACCATATCCACTTTTGGAATGAGGGTTAACCAAGTATGGTTGAAATTCCGTAATAGCTTGCCTGTTATGAAAAAGGAAGTAATAGCCTTGATCACACTATCACCAACAATGGGCCAAAATGATCGGAAAAAAGAACCTGTAAAACCATCAGAGCCAGGAGATTTAAGGGCACCCATGTGAAAGATTGTATCATTAATTTCAGCAGGAGTGACTTGAGCCAACAAAGCTTCATTCATTGCCCTTGTTACTAGACGTGAAATAGGCATGCTTTCCACTCTTTGAGCAACTCGAGCAGCAAAACCATCATCCAAACCAGCAGAGGTAAAAAGATTCTTATAATAATCCACCATAATAAGCTCGTTTCCCATCCTCATCTGTAACCCATTGACCAACAGAATCAAACAATCCTTCAATTCTACTCCTTCGACGTTTGGCGCGAGTTACGACATCAAATATCCAGAGTTCTTGTCCCCTTCAGAGAGCCAAGAGACGCGTGTTCGTTGTTTCCAGAATAATTCCTCCGCTGCCCAAGCCGAAGCTAAATCAGATTCAATTCTATTAAGCTCCGTCCAGTCCACCGGATAATCATTCCGGACTCGTTGGGTTTCCAAACGAAGCTGTCGTAACCGATGTGCTGCGTTAGTGGTCCCTTTCTTCGCCCAATAGAACAGTTATGTCTAGCCTTTTTCAACCATGTCCAAAGTTGGAAGAAAGGGGAACCAGCAACGCGTTCTTGCCAAACCAAATCAACAATCATAAGCGCCTCAGCATTCGTCCCCCAGCGAGTATCAAAGCGAAACAACGGCTTAGCAATTGGATGTTGAACAGACCACCTAAAAAGAATGGCTCGATGATCACTACCTTGATCCGAAAGGTGTTCAACTTACCGGAAGGCCATTGATTAACCCAGGCAGCCAAGAATAGGAAACGATCCAAACGAAATTGAATAAAAGAAGAGATGGAGTGACGATTTGTCCAAGTGTAACGGGGCCCGAAAACCCAATATCAATTAGAGCAAGATCATCCACAAAAGAACAGAAAGCAATGGCAGAAGTCGGATTAAATCCTCGACCCCCCTGTTTCTCTGCCGAACTTAACAGGTCATTAAAATCACCAACAACAGTATACGGAACAGCAATAAGAGCACAATAACGAACAAGCCGACGAAATTGACTCCTACGAATCGCATCGTTACAACTTAAATAAACAAAAAACGACCATTGAAAATTGTCCATTAAAACACACCTGCAAAGACTGCAGGCATATAAAAAGTATATGAACAAAGATAAGAAACTGAAGCTCCAGCAGACCAAGCAAAGAACTATGGTTAAGAACTCAATATCCAGAGCATGGGCCTCCGGAAGGATGAAAGCTTTGATGGATCATCCTTTTCGGGCTTATTAGTAGCTTGGGCTAAGAGCCCAAGTAAAAACTCGAGACACGTGAAGAAGAGATTTTTCCAAAAATAGCACCTTTCCTTCTCCCTTTTCAAATTTCTGTTGTAGCTCTATATTTCTTTAGTAGTTTTGCGATTAAAGTTAACTCGTAAGTTTAATTTGTATTACTTTTTATTGTTATTTTTTATTTTTATGATATTAACTGAACTACGGTTTTTTTGCAGATGGCATTCCAAAAGTTCACGCTTGGCTTACGGTGGAATGGTTACACGGAAGAGACCGGAAAGGGGGTCACCTACGTCGGTGGCAATTTTCAGAAGATAAAGGTCGCTACCAGACTGCTGCTTGAAGACCTCCATCAAATGTGCACTAACGTTACTTGCATGGATGGCACGAGAAGAGTTGATCGTATGGTGTACCGATATCCAAACAGAGAAAGTGGGTCATTGTGGCATGAGGAATATCTCATAACCACTCAAGATGAGGTAGATGCCATGCTCGAATTCTTGAGGTCCAACAATCTTTCCAAAGCCGAGATGTTCGTTTACACCGAGCCGGTCGTAGGCGTTGGAGGTCATTCTGGACGCGGTCAAACATCTGGTATCCATGATGGAGGTGAATTATATGGCGATCATCCCTACCAAAGTTACCATGATCCTCATTCCTATTTTCAGTACCAAGAGCAAGGTGAAGGTCATCATCAATCTTTCCCGTCATATGAAGAAGAAGTTCAACCGGACCTCCCCAACCAACCTCAGTACAACTTCCAATCAGGCAGCGGTAGTTTTCACAACTACCATTATGGAGCTGATGAAGGTGTCTTTCATGATCTGGATCAGATGGAGGATGCCCTGCCAGCACCAGTCAGTGACCCCTCCGATGAAGAAGGAGAGAACAACGTCAGTGCAGACAGCTCCGACCCTCTTATAGGTGCTGATGATTCAGGACCAGAGTCAGACTCAGCTAATGATGATGAGGTGGCTCGTGACTGTGTACCAGTCCCCTACTACAATCACATTCCAGACGACAATTGGATGGTTGACAGCGACATGGAGCCGCCAGAGGTCCCAATATGGGGTCCACTCACTGGGTGTATGAAGGGCCAAAAATTTGGCTCGAAGAAGGAGGTGCGGCACGCCATTGAGACTAAAGCAATGACTCGGCATTTTGAATGGCACACAACTCATTCCAACACTAAAAGGCTCATAGTCAGATGCCGTAATCATCATGAGGGGTGCAATGTTAGGATTCGGGCCATCAACAGCAAGAGACACGGCCACTGGGTCGTATCCCGTGCGGTGAACACACACACATGTGTGTCATCCATAACTTCCCAAGGCCATCGACAGTTGAAATCCAGGGTGGTTGCAGCGACTATCAAGCATCTAATTGAGCAAGATCCGGACCTGAAGGTGAAAGTCATAATCGCTGACATTGCAAGTCGTTATGGTTATATGATTAACTATAAGAAGGCATGGCATAGAAAGCAGAAAGCTTTGGCCGCCGTCTTTGGTGATTGGGAAGAATCATATGCATTCCTTCCCAGGTTAATTTTGGCATTGGAGGCGTCTAACCCTGGCACGGTTTTCTCCCCTCGATACCAAGATGAAGAGGTACAACCCCCAGAGCCAGGTAACAAGCGCCATTTCAGACGACTTTTTTGGGCATTCAAGCCATCTATTGATGGTTTTGGCTTCTGTGTCCCTGTGATCCAAGTGGATGGTACATTCCTTACCGGCAAGTACAAGGGCACTCTCCTTATTGCCAGTGGGGCGGATGCAAACAGACAAGTCTTTCCTTTAGCCTTCGCCAGTGTTGAGGGAGAGAATGCTGATAGCTATGGATGGTTTTTCTGGCAAATTCAAATCCACGTCACTAGGAGGACGAACCTGACAATAATCTCTGATCGGCACGCCGACATTAGAGATGCCATCTTAGGTTTAGATCCAGCCTGGAAGTGGTCCCAAAGGTGGTGCATACGACACTTCAAGAGCAACTGGAACCATCATTTCAAGCGGACGATGAACATTGCGCCGCCGACCTCCCTCACAGCTTTTAGAGACGCATTGCACAAGTTGTGGTAGATCATAGCTAGTTAAGCGGATGCCCAGCTATACTCCCCCATCTCCTCCCAACTATCAAGGATGATCCTAAGCCATCCACAACTAAGGAGATTGCTTGATTTTTTTGGAGAAGAACACTCCTCCGATCATGCCTATGAGATAGACACGAGCATATCTCTCCTTCTCATCCTCCGGACTTTCCTCGGTTAGGGGATGACTCTCGTAATGGTCTCTAAAATACTCATCAACCAAGTAATTGAGACCTTGTGTTTCCTCATTGGTGGTATGCGATCGGTCGCATCAACGCACCCCTTCACCGGTACTTTCACTCCCAAAACACTGTGGATGAAATGAACCCAACCGGGCATACCGTCACGATCCTCGGGGGGATGATCACTCACGCACACCGCTTTGCCGTCGATGGGCAGATGGGTAAGGATGGCGACATCCTTTAGCGTGATGGTGGCCTCTCCTTCTCTAAAGTTGAAACAATGGGTCTCCTTTCTCCATCTCTCGGCTAATGCGGTGATGAGTTGGCGATCAACTTTGATGCCGTTACAATGCCTAATCGGGTCCAACCGTGCCCTTTTGAGAAAGGGCAAGATAGCTGGGTGGAATGGGAGCACATTGGTCGTACCCCTGTAGCGAAGTATTGTTTGTGTCTCCTAGCGAAAATTTACACGTTAATTATTATATATTAGTAAGAGTTTTTTTCTTATAACTAAATTAATTAAATTAAATTAAATTATTTAACTTCAAGCAGAATTTTATTATCATAAAAATACATTTCATATAATTAACATAATAACATTCTAAATCAATAATAAATTAAAGAGATACATACATATTATCATAAAACAAACATCCTAAATTAATTAACATAATAACATTCAAATGAATAATAATTTAAAGAGATACACGTAAAACAAACATACTAAATTAATTAACATAAATAACATTGTTAATGAATAATAATTTAAAGAAAAACATACATATTCAAATGTTTGAAATTAATAAAATTCATTTTGTACACATAAAAATAAATCATATTGGTTGTTTGGTAAATAATTTAATCGTATTGGTTGTTTTAAATAATTTAATCGAATACAGAGCAACACTCGGTAGACTCTTAGAAGAGGTATACATCTTATTAGAAACGCAGTCTTTTTGACAGAAAAAAAGGGGATCCGATGATCTCTTAATACCCGATTTTCCCAGGGAATGGGAGGATATGATAATCGTTTAAAACCCCATTTCCTTAGACGTGCATCTCTTTATGAAGAGTCGAAGTAAGTAGCGCTATTTATTCGATTAAATTATTGAAAACAACCAACACGATTAAAAAATCAACATAAATTTATTTTATATTCCACTAAATACATTAACAAAATAAAAGAAGGACAAATGGTGAAGAATTGTATGTACCGGGTGATCGTTCCAAACATCCCTTGACCGATGGTTGGGTTGGTCGTACAAGTCGGTTGGATCCAACGGTCCTTGCTAGAGATAATACCGTTGGTTGTATATATCCACGTCCTCCCCAACCTACGAGAAAATAACAACGAGGTTAGTACATAGATTAATTAAAAAGCTTATAACAACAACAAAAATTAAACCAGAATAATGAGTACATACCGCTTGAAATTCATCAACATAAACTCCCTCTCCTTGCCACCAATCAGCCATTTTTTTGGGAAATTCGAAAAGAGATTCGGCTCCACGGGTTTTGAGGAAAAAATCTAAGAAATGTTTTCTGATGGCAGATCGGACTTAGCCACAACCAACAGACCACTATTTCCTAGACTTTTGGGAGGGGAGGGTTTAGAGAGATAAATTCTAGAGAGAGAAGGAAGAATGGGTTGTGGTGTGAAGAAATGTGATTCAAGGCGCCAAATCGCTCCTCTTCGCTGCGTTCTGCGATCCACGGTGCGGATCGCTGATGTGGCGTTGCTCTTGCCTGCTAGATCGCCACACAATCCTGCGGTCTGCAAGACCGCTGCCCACCAAACATAGACCGCACCTTGGAGGTGCGGTTCTCATTCTGATGTGGCGCAAAACGCACCTTAGAGGTGCGGTCCATAAAAAGGGTGCTATTAGAGTAAATTTTTTTGGCTAGGTACTATTTTTGTAATTTTTTTTAAAAAGTGTTATTTCTGAAAAAATACCCGTCAAGAAAATGACAGAGAAAGGGGCGCGTGAGGGAGCGGAGCAGCAGAGAAGAGAGAGTTGCGTCCGTCACGGTCACGACGGAAGCGGCGGAGGAAGAGAGAGACGGGGAGAAGTAGAACAGTCAGCAGCGGTATTATAATCACTACCGTCCACAAACGCAGTGGAGATTTCAGTAGCGAGCAATAGCAAAGCAGCCCGCAGTAGAAGAGATTTTAAGAGAATCGAGCAGTTCCCCCCAACAACCCAAATGTCAAATTCCTAATCTATAGCGACGCAATCCCTCCACCTTCGCACCTAACTCTTCTCCCTTGTTTCGCTTCCGCAGACACGCCATTCATCGCCTAGCTCATCTCTTGAAAATTTACGACCCCCATACACCAAAACTGTCCCCTGTCTCCCGATTTTGTTCCTGGGTTTTGATAAATTTGGCAACCTGGGTCCGCCGAGCTCCTCTTCATGACTTCATCTCCCTCAGCCATGGACGTTGATCCTCCTAATTACGACCACGTTGTGAGTATCTCTCTCTCTCTTTCTCTATTCCATTTTGGGATCTGGGTTTACGTTTTTGTTTTTTTGGGTTCCCTTGATATGCTACTTCGAACTTGTTGATGCATTTCAGCCGTTGACCCGCTAGGGGTTCATTCATTCGAACGAGAACCCTCTCTGGATTGTCTTAGGGTATTTTCTGGGTTTCCAGTGTTGCGTTTGTACTTCGAGTGCAGAATGAATTTCTTGCACCCCGTGTCTCTAAAATGTGTTTTTGAGCCCAAAGTTGCGTGCTTTTGGTCACGAATGCCATTTGGTTTTCTTTCTCGAGCTATTCTGATTAGGCTGTACCGAGATGAAGTTGTCCTTGCAACTATTGAATGTCTGGTTAATTTCGTCATGCTCCTCGAAATTTTTGTTCGCAGACAATCAATGACAGTGATGTCCACAGTATTGTTCTTTCGTACTTGGTCCACAATTGCTACAGAGAAACGGTGGAGTCATTTGCTGCTAGCACGGGGATGAATCAGCCTGCTGATTATCTGGATGGCATAGAGAAGCGGAAAAGTAGGTGATAATAGTTCATATTCCAATGGTTTACTTCAGAGTACTTTCCCATGGTTGGGTACTTAGGTTGATGCTCATATGGCCGGCCATTAGTTTCATGTGTTTGTGAAAATGAGTGTTATACTCTTCTATTAGGAAGACATACTTTTTCACTGTATCCATTCATAGCTATCATCTTCCTTCCTTATCGTGCAATGTGCCTAGTGATATGCAGATATGGAATCTGATATTAATAGTTTCCTTAATCATTCATTCGAGCTGTTGCCAAATTTGCAGAAATTTTTGAGTGTGCACTAGAGGGAAATGCACTCAAGGCGATCGATCTGACGGAACAGCTGGCACCGGATCTACTAGAGAGCAACAAGGACTTGCATTTTGACCTCTTGAGCCTTCATTTCGTTGAGCTTGTCTGCTCCAGGAAGTGGTGAGTGAACAGTATACTGTATGAAAATCCAATGTCCAAAAAGTCAGAAGTTAGAACCTAATATGTCGAGTTACTTGTGTGTGCCAAGCAATGAAGCCCTGGAATTTGCTCAGACCAAGCTTACTCCATTTGGCAAGATGCAGAAGTACGTTGAAAAGCTTGAAGTAAGTTCCTTTTTTCCGTGTGAAGAATCATGATAAGTATTTCAACATTGTACCAAGTATTAAATGCTCTAGTTATGTGGCAGGACTTCATGGCGCTACTTGCATATGAGGAGCCAGAGAAATCTCCAATGTTTCATCTTCTCAGCTTGGAGCACCGTCAGCAAGTTGTCGACAGTTTGAACCAAGCTATTCTTGGTTTGTTCTTTTAGTTTTGATTCTTCTATCTTCTCCACTATTAGCAATTTCGTATTAGTTACTTATTCGTGATTGTGATTAAATAATTCAGCACAGGCAAAGCTTCCAAGCCACACTCCAATGGAGAGGTTGATACAACAGACAGCAGTGGTCAGGCAACTTCTGAATCAAGATCACGCCAAGGTAAAGTTTAAGAATAAACTTTCTCCCTTCTTTCCTGCTTTCGCACAAACTTACAATATCATTGAGTGTAGCTGATTTTAAACTTCCGCTTTGAAGGATGGGCATCCACCATTTGCGTTAAAGGACTTTCTCAATGGCTAAGGCTGTGTTGGGAAGTGTTGGAATCATCGCGGCAAGATGTAAACACCGGTCAGCTAGCATGTCAACGCCACCAAATTGGTTCTGGGTATATATATAGTCATTAGTCAGTCGCCACGGTCTCACACATCAGTTAGAAGTTGCTTGTGCAACGAGTTCAGCTCTGATTTGTGTTCTGGCCAAGCGCTACTCATCTGGATTCAGTCTTAGATGAAATCAGAGATGAAAGCTTCAATCAGTCTTAGATGACTGGCATTTCGGATCACTATGGCTTGAAAATGAGTTTTTTCTTCTTGGCTTGTTAGGTTTCACTGTGGGCAATGAGATTGCAAGAGGCTTTCTGCAGTTTGTCAATTCAGAATATAAAGCTGTGTTGGCATTTATTTAGAACATTTAGAACATAAAAGCTAGCTACGCTTTTTGCTCTGATTGGTCTGTTACTGTTTCATTTTGTGTCGTTTAGTGACCATCGATGAAAGGATTGTAAAAAATCCTTCCCACGCAGACCTTCCTAACACCGTCAGAACTCTTTCTTTCCCTCACTCCAGTCATGCCTCGCCTTGCCATCCGTCGGAGCAGATCTGCAACTGGCCCGGGCCCCTGCCATCCTTTGACCAATTTCCTTACCTTACCGGAAATTCAGGCCGCGTTTTTCGCTGGCACACGGCGTCGCTGCCGAATTCTTCAAAACACGCCAACGGCCATGATTCGTAGGAGAGATCGACATGCTTGCCGTACGCTGCTCCTCTCCGCGACCACACCCCAAAAATTGGAATTGCACGCCACTGGTCGATTCATGTCCTTCGTTTCACCATTCGGGTATGCTTTCTTGGAAATCGGAGCCATCCTGTTGGCAGACTCGCCATCAGTTTCCATGTTCAGTCCTTGATTGCTTCACCACACCACCTTCTTTCTACTTCTGTTGTTCTGCAGTACTGACCTCTCTCCACCAGTTGTCTTCCATCGTACTTGGTGGGAGACAAGTGTTTTCTTCTCTTCCCCCCTCAGTAATCCCTTCTTCTCTCTTGCAACGCAAATCCTGAAATTTTCTCCTGCTACCAGCTGCCGTGGAACCCAAAGGCGATGAGAAGGAAAGGGGCTTGGTAGACTTATCATCTCCATCAACACATCTCCGTTGCTTTTCGTCTTGCCACCGAGTCAGGGGAGTCGATGGACTTATCATCACCATCAGCCAGCTAGAAGAATCATTCGCCGGGCAGGGTATCAATCCAGGATGCAGAAGAATGAACCTCTGGTTCAGATGATGAAGCTGCTGTAGCTGACCTTGAAGAACAGAGCAGCAGGACGAAACGTTTCAATCGACTTCTCCAGGGACTTAAGTGAAGAACGAGACGGTGACGTTTAGGACTGAGCTTACCGTTGCTTGGAGAAGATGGGAGCCAACGAAGAAGGAACACGTGGCACATTATTTACTGTTTTGTTTAAATTACAGTTTAACGTTCATTTCCAGTTTTACTGTTCTTGTACGAACACTTTCCCTTTTACCAGCACTATATAAGTGAGAGAAGTGAGAACCCTGCCTCCTTTGCGGGTTCCATTACATACCGCCTCTATCTTCTTCTTCTACCTCCAAAACCCTACCCATTACATCTTATTTTATGGTATCAGAGCTGGACAAGATCCAGTGATCTACAATGGCTAACACACCTCCACACAACAATCGCAGTCAACTGAACAGTGGTGCCATTCCATTTGGCACCTTCGATGGTTCCACAAGCAACAATGGTGGTGGGAGCAACAACAACAGCAATCGACGTGACGATCTCCAGTTTGGTAATCCCTTCTATATTAACCCAAATGAGAATGTCTCTCAATCGATTGTTTCAGAGAACTTAGATGGACCAAACTACCAAATGTGGCAGAGGGCAATTCGTATGGCCCTGAAGACTAAACATAAGGTAGGATTCATAGATGGGACTATACCTATGCCTGATGAGAATGATCCAACTTATGCGTTATGGGATGCTTCAAACACACTTGTTCTTTGCTGGATTCTCAATTCAATTGACAAGGAAATTAGACGCAGTGTTATGCAGCATGAGAATGCGAGGGTTCTTTGGGTTGAATTGAAGAATAGGTTTGGGCTCCCTAATGCTATCAGGCTGGCAAACTTGCAAGATCAGATTATTGCTTGTAAACAAGGATCTATGAACATTACCCAATATTATACTGCATTTAAGGGTCTTTGGGAAGAGAATTTGCAGTTTAATCCTATCGTTGAATGTGATTGTGCTCCTCAAAGGACTAGGCCATGTCCAGCAGTGGAAGCTTTCAAGCAAAAACAGGAAGTGGAATACCTGATCCGTTTTCTGAAAGGGTTGAGGAATGAGTATGATGTTGTTCACACCCAGCTCCTGATGATGAAACCACTACCCACTGTGGATGCTGCTGTTAATGACCTTCTCCAGCATGAACAGAAAATCAAAGGTGATAAAGGAGGAAATACTAAGGGAGTGCAGACTGTGGCTCTTGCTGTTCCAGGACAGTCTGGGAATCAAAACAAACCTGCAGAAGGATCAGATGGGAAGAAATTCTGCAGATACTGCAAGAAAGAAAACCACACAATTGAAGACTGCTATAGCCTGAAGAGGAAGAAGGCTAGGATGGCAGGAGGAAATGTTGTAGCTGCTGTTTCTCAAAGTGAGTCATCAACTGATAGTGACTCTTCCGGCTCAGACACTAAGTTGAGCATTGACACAAGGACTTCTACAACATCTTTTGGCCTGTCATCAGAAGAAATCAACAAACTCAAGTTTCTACTCAGCTCAGTCACATCCTCTCCCAGTCCTTCACCACCTGCATCACCATCAGTCAACCATCATGCTTTCTCTGTGTCTCAACAGATTCCTCACTTCCCTAGCTTTGCTGGTAAGTATATACTCTCTTCTTACTTGCAGCAAAGATCTGCCCTTATGGGAACTTGGATACTAGACACTGGGGCTTCTGATCACATAGCCTGCAGTTTAGACTTGTTTATTGAATCTCAGCCTGTTTACAATCAATATGTGTTCTTACCAAATGGAACCAAGGTTGCTGTCAGTCATGTGGGACGAGTTAAACTACCTTCTGGCTTGATTCTAGACAATGTCCTCCTAGTGCCAAGTTTCTCTTTCAATCTAGTCTCTGTTAGTAAACTCACAAATGACCTACCTATCTCCTTACACTTTGAATCTGACTCTTGCCAAATTCAGGACCTCATGACCCACAGCAGGACTGGTTTGGCAAAGCAGATTAAAGGACTCTACCAACTAAACTTCAAGCCATCTCAATCCTCTACACACCATTCCCAAGCAGCTGCTGTTTACAACTTTTCTCCTCAAAACATCCATCTGTGGCACTGGAGGCTAGGACACCTTCATAAGGAGAAAGAGAAACTTCTAGTACCTTGTAATAGGGATCCAGTTTTTCATTGTGAGACATGTCATTATGCCAAACAAAAACGTTTACCCTTTCCTGTTAGTACTTCTCGAGCACAGGATGCTTTTGGTTTGATCCATGTGGACATATGGGGTCCTCTTGCTGTGAAATCTCATGAGGGTTACTCCTATTTTCTCACTATAGTAGATGACTACTCTAGGGGTGTATGGACTTATCTAATGAAGCATAAATCTGAAGCCAGCACTCTTCTAGTTTCTTTCTGTGTGATGGTTGCAAAGCAATTCTCCAAACAGGTTAAAGTGATCAGAAGTGATCAGGGGTCTGAGTTCCATATGGCTGAGTTCTATGCTGCACAGGGAATTGAACATCAATTGTCTTGTGTTGAGACACCTGAGCAGAATGCTAGGGTCGAGAGAAAACACCAACACATCCTCAATGTGGCTCGTTCCCTTAGGTTCCAATCTGGAGTTCCATTGGTTTTCTGGAGTGACTGCATTCTCCATGCAGTCTACCTTATTAATCGAATTCCAACTTCTGTGCTTGGAAACAGGTCCCCCTATGAACTTCTTTATAACAAACCTCCAAGTTTGTCTGGCCTTAGAGTGTTTGGTTGTCTCAGCTATGCCACTACACTTCACAGAGATAGAACCAAATTTGACAGTAGAGCCAGACAGTGTATCTTTCTTGGTTTCCCTTCTGGCATCAAGGGCTATAAGCTCTATGACTTGAACAATCACTCCTTCTTTGTTTCCAGAGATGTTGTCTTTTATGAGACAATTTTCCCTTTCCAAACTTCTTCTTCTACTTCTACTTCCACTCTTCCTCTTTCAGATCCCATTACACCTTCTTTATCACAAGTTCCCAACTTCATTCCTCCTCCTGCTTCTATTCCATCTTTTCCTTCTCATCAGGACACTGTCACCACACCTTCTACTTCCCAGAATGTTCCCATTTCCCCCTCACCTTCTTTTTCTCCTTCTTCTGGCACCTGCCCCTCTTCTAGTGAGTTGTCTGGTTCACATTCTGTGGGGGAGGATGCTGAGATAGCTGTGTTTCCTTATGAGAATGACACTGATGAAGCTGAGTTTCTTAGAAAATCTAACAGGACTCACACTGTTCCTGTCTGGCACAAAGACTATCATGTCACCATAGCTGCCTCTTCCTCTAAACACCATGTCTGGCAGCATTACACTTATGAGCATCTTACCCCTGCACAAAGATCTTTTGCCATGAGTGTCATGTTGACCACAGAACCTACTTCATATGCTGAGGCATCTAAGGATCCTAGGTGGAACCAAGCCTGCAATGAAGAGCTAGCAGCTTTGGAAGAAAACCAAACCTGGGAGGTTGTGAAGTTACCACCAGGGAAGAAGGCTGTGGGGTCTAAGTGGGTGTTTAAGATCAAACACAAGTCTGATGGTAGTATTGAGAGGTTTAAATCAAGGGTAGTTGCCAAAGGATACACCCAAATATATGGCATTGACTTCCTTGATACCTACTCACCAGTAGCTAAAATCAACTCAGTGAAGACTTTGTTGGCTGTAGCTGCTTCTAAAGACTGGCACATCCATCAAATGGATGTCTCTAATGCATTCTTGCATGGAGACTTGGATGAGGAGGTATACCTTGAGATTCCTCCTGGTGCAAATGTTCCTAGAAACCAAGGGCTGGTCTACAAACTTAAGAAGTCACTTTATGGACTTAAACAGGCAAGCAGGCAATGGTTTGCCAAGCTAACCAATGCTTTAATGAAGAATGGTTATTCCCAGACCTCATCAGACTATTCCATGTTTGTTAGGTGGATTCAAGGAAGGGTTGTGGTGGTTTTGGTATATGTTGATGACATATTAATTGCAGGGAGTTATTTGGGAGATATTGAGCAGCTTAAGCTGTTTTTGAGTAAAGAGTTCAAGGTCAAAGATCTTGGGCAGATGAGCTACTTTCTGGGATTGGAAGTGCTAAGAGATCACAAGGGTATCTTCCTGAGTCAAAGGAAGTATTGCCTGGAATTGGTCACTGACACAGGCTATCTTGAAGCCAAGGGCTGTGTTTCTCCTGTTGACTGTAATGTGAAGCTCTCAGCAACTCAAGGAGATCCATTACCAGATCCTAGTGTTTACAGGAGGCTCATTGGAAGACTACACTATCTAACCATTACAAGACCTGACATTACCTATGCAATTCAACAATTGGCACAGTATCAAGGAGCACCATGTGTTGAGCATCTGCAAGCTGCTCACAGGGTAATCAGGTATTTAAAACAAAGTCCTGGACAAGGACTTATGTTCAGATCAGATTCTAAATTGGAGCTGTCTGGATTTTGTGATGCTGATTGGGCAAGCTGCCCTGACTCTAGAAGGTCACTTACAGGCTACTGTACCTTCTTGGGAACCTCTCTGATTACCTGGAAAACTAAGAAACAAACAACAGTCTCCAGATCTTCTTCCGAGGCCGAATATAGAGCCCTTGCTCAAGTTGTTTGTGAAGTTCAGTGGTTGAGGAACTTATTGCAGGAAATGGGAGTACAGGTTCCACTGCCTATTCCTCTATATTGTGATAACAAGTCAGCTCTGCATATTGCAGAGAATCCAGTGTTCCATGAGAGAACAAAGCATATTGAGATAGACTGCCATGTTACAAGGGAGCGTTTGAAATCTGGTTTGATTCACTTGAGCCATGTTAGAACAGATGATCAGATTGCAGACATTTTTACAAAAGGAGTCTCTCGATATCGTTTGAAGTTTTTGCTTGACAAGCTGGGAGTTCACAATGCTTACTCGCCAGCTTGTGGGGGAGTATCAATCCAGGATGCAGAAGAATGAACCTCTGGTTCAGATGATGAAGCTGCTGTAGCTGACCTTGAAGAACAGAGCAGCAGGACGAAACGTTTCAATCGACTTCTCCAGGGACTTAAGTGAAGAACGAGACGGTGACGTTTAGGACTGAGCTTACCGTTGCTTGGAGAAGATGGGAGCCAACGAAGAAGGAACACGTGGCACATTATTTACTGTTTTGTTTAAATTACAGTTTAACGTTCATTTTCAGTTTTACTGTTCTTGTACGAACACTTTCCCTTTTACCAGCACTATATAAGTGAGAGAAGTGAGAACCCTGCCTCCTTTGCGGGTTCCATTACATACCGCCTCTATCTTCTTCTTCTACCTCCAAAACCCTACCCATTACATCTTATTTTACAGGGTGCCATCGCGGAGTATTTTTCCCCCTTAGAAGCGATTCCCCACCTCATTCCCACTCTCTTTGTTTTGCTGGTGGAAGAAGAAGCAGCAGATGAAGATGAAAAAGAAGAACACGGAGGAGTAGAAGGAAAAGAAGACACTCCGACCACATCCCTGCGGGGTCACGAGTGAGTTTTCGTTCTCCCCTCTCCTTTCACTTCTACAACTGCAGAAATTTTTTTGTTCTATCTATGTACTTTTGCTCGACATCTTTCTACATGCATTTCAAGCTGTTCTTCTTTCATTACGTACTTTTATTTGACCAGTTCATTGCTACGTGTTGGTCGTTGAGATGTTTGAATATGCAATTTGGAATCGTGGTTAGGTTGTAATCTACAATCTGGTGTTGCTCAGTTGAAATTAGAGAATAGTAACCAGGTAATTGTAGCCGAAAAGTGTTCAGCTTAGTTCTATGGCGCCGGGAACAAGAATGGAGTTTTATCCTCTATTGATTTTCTTGATATGCTCAATGATTCATATACCATTCACATTAAACAAAATCACCATCATTGATGCTCAGCATGGGGTATGAGAGGAGTTGCAGGATCTCTCTTCAGTTTAGAGTTTCAGAACCTTTTTCCAAATTGATTGGGGTTATTTCATCTCTGGACCTTTCAGCTTACATATAAACTTATTATATTTACCATCATTTGCTTTTAAAGGTCGAGACTGTAGTATAACCATGATTTTGCTGCTGCTACAATGTCATTTCTTCGGAAGGTAATTGATTCACTACTCAACCATCCTGGAAATGCAGTGCTACTGCTACATTCGAGAAACTGGTGCGATCCAAAACAGGTTCAATTGGAAGGTACATACATGGTTTATGGTTATACCAAAGACCAACCTGTTGAATTTTTTACTTTATCTGTAGAATGTGAATTGAAAGTTTTGCCGACAGGTTCAATTGGAAGGTAAAGACAATGTCAATAGCTGATGGGATAGCTTTATCTTGCTGTTCTTCAGTTTCTCCATAGCATTGAAGACGTGAAAGAAGTAAAGAACTGGAATCTTGATTCAAAGAACAGTAACCCTTACAAGATGCAAACTCCACTCACTGAATGTAAGTTTGTGAACTCTTTTCCTGCATTTGTTGCTCAAATTATGTGTTTGTGAATCCATATTTAAATGCTCAATTAAATGGATTCGTGTTTGAATGTGAACCCTTTTCGTGAATCCATGTTGTTCCTTTCCCTAGATCAGATTTGTATTGTTTCTTAGTCTAACTTTTTAATATAAGCTCTAACTACAACTTCTCTTAGTTAACACATCCGGCAAGAAACACACCACCACCAATCAAGCTTTGAATGAATCCTACCAGAAAGATGGTCAGGTATAAGATTCTTCACTTTTCAGAACCCATATTAAGTTTTATTTATATGATTTGCTGTGAGAAGTCATGATCTGATAGGTGCTCAATTTATATTCCTCTTTTGCTTGCTTGCTGATTAGGTGCTCAATTTCTATTGCCCTTCAAAAACTCTTCTGATAGCATGATAGCTTTGTTCAGTTCATGAGTATGGATCAAGAGCTTCTCCACCAGTAAGAGACATTAAGTACCCGCTATTGTTTCTCATCATCAATGGTCATCGAGATTGTGTAACTGATAGACAAATTGCTGAACAGGTCTATTAGTAAGTTGAGTCCTTTTCCCTGTCACTCTCGCAGTCGCATATGCTTTTCACAGCCACACACAATTCAATTAGTTGGCTTTAGATATTGATTTTGAAAGTTTTTTCCCTTTGGTTTGCCGGTACCATTTCAGTTTAGCATTTTAGTCTCATTTTCTTAAGTTCCTCTATATACAGGCTTCTTCCAGTAAAGCTCTTTCTCTATAATTGATGGAAGGCTTTGCCTCTTTAATTGTAGTTGACAGGATCTGGCAAATTATGTATATAGTTTATGTTTAATTAGTAAGCTTAACTCCAGTAAACTGAGTTATTTTTTCATTTCCCCTTCCCAAGACCCTGCTTATCACTTTTCGTAAATAAAATTTTAGGTTACTTTGTCATTTATAGGTCATGTGTTCTCAACGCTAGATTTCTGCAGATAATGTGTATGGATGTGTTATTTGTTGACTCAGAAAAAGAAAAACCTAACAGCCCCAAGTCTGCTTTAAATCCTGCCAAACCACCCAATAGTTAGTAAATGCAGCACTCTCTTTTATTTTGTAACAGTTCACGGGAAACAATCTGCACCAACAGTAAATTGCCAGCTTACAAACCAATACCAACAGCTTCAAGAATAGTTTGCAGTCACCCCTAATCAACAAACAGAGACAAGTCTTAAATGGATACAAATGTAGTGGGTGTTATCTTGCACCAGCAATGACAAGTTTCCAGCTCACAGCAGCAAGCCTGTTCGTTCAGTCCCGCTAATCTGATCCTACTACCCACGATCAATCAACCATTTTCCAAATTAAGTCTTGCTTTAGTCAGCCAGCTTGCCAGATTAATCAGAGATATTGTTTAATCCTCCCTCTGTAGCTTCATGACGTCTTTACTCCATAAAACTGTTCATGACGTCTTTACTCCATAAAACTGCTCATGAAGTTGGTCGAAGGCCTGCATTTATATGCAGCAGTGGTCCAGGAGAGCACAACAAGAGCAAAAGACTCACAAACATGACCATACTCTCATGCTCCCATGAGTCACAAATCAATATCATTGTCCACATTCAGGTTGTTATCCCTCTTTTTTTTTCTACAACACACAAGAGGGTAATTGTTTGGCCCAGCACGATTAAATGTCCTGCGACTAGAGGTGGCAATTCTCAATCCAATCCACCAATCCAATCCACCAACCCATTAAAAATATCCACCTAATCCAATCCATTTAAATCCAATCCATTTGATCCAAATCCAATTGGATTGGTGGATTCATGGATCGACCCATGGATCCAAATGGCAAATTACGGTTTGGTACCTATAATTTTTATATTTTACATTTTGGTACCCAAAATTTAATTTTTATACAAAAAATTTCATTGGAAAATTACGTTTTGGTACCTAAAATTTTTCATTATGACATTTTAGTACCTAAACTTTTCACATTTTGCAAATTGGTCCTTGGTTGAGGATGTCATTTGGATTCATGGATAATCCACCAATCCACTTGATCCAATCCATCAATCCATCAATCCATTGGATCCAATCCATTTGATCCATGAATCCACCAATCCAATCCACCAATCCATGGATCAATCCATTTGCCACCTCTACCTGCGACGTAGTCGCGGGTATTGATACTAGTATTTCTAAAAGCAAATGTCGCTTGTAGTTGTAGGTTGATGCTTTGGAGTTGAACCAGCTCATTAGATTTTGTTATAACAGCAACCTCTATGGAAATTTTGAGGCTTAAAGCACTCAGACTCAGTTGATGGGCTTGAAGTCCAGTAGTTCATGGAGTTTAATTGAGAGGCAAACCCGTTCCATATATTTACACGTACAAAACGATCACCCGCCATTTTTCTGTTACTAAGAAACCCGCCTAAACCCAACGAACTGCCTCCGCAGTTCTCTAAAGATAATGCTCTCCGCCTCTCCCTATCTGCTTTCCAGCCATCTTCCTTTCTCCGGCCACGGCGGCGACCGGAGGCTCTTCCACCGTCCACATTATTCATAAAAGTCTTTTATCTCTCTTTCCATTCCTCGGTCCGTCTTGGTCTGGAGTTCGGTCTTCTTTCCACCTCGAAATTGCAGGCTACGTGTTTGTTGAAATGCCGAACTGAATACTCAGCCCTGCTGCTCTTCTTCTCTCGCAGTTTTTTCGATATTAGGATTTTACAAGGTCGAAGCAGGCTCCTCCGGACACGAACCCTGATGATGTGTGGTGCAAGATAGTGGCTTGAATGCGAAACCACTTTGCTTTAATTTCTGTAACTGCTGGTGTTTCGTGGGTCTTTTTTCTGACAGATTAGCTTGTTGGACGAACCAGAGCATAAGAAGAAAAAGCTAATGACACCAACCAGTAATGTTCTGAGTGATGATAGCCGATGCTAACGATGGAGTCCTGATTGCTTTACCTAGAGAATAACTATGATATGCATTGGATAGTTTAAGTAGGTCAACAATATCTCTTGCCTCGGCCGTCTTGATGGTGATCCAGTGGCAGATCTGAGATGCATTCATCTTCAGCAGCATTGGCAGATCTGCTTGGTCTTATAGTAGGTGCTCATGGTATGATGAGAGTTCAGGTTTTTATCCACCAACCAATTCCAGTGACTAAAAATCCTGACATCTCTCTTACTGCACAGGGTCTCTTACGAAATTTTCTAAGGCACCTTAGGAGGACTTGGGTGCTTGTTCATGTCGTCGATGCAGCTGTAGAGGAAGACCATGTGAGTGATTACAGAATCGTCAGAGAAGCAGGGTATGTTGAGAAATCTATTGATTCCACTTCAGTAGTTTGTCCCCTTGATATGAACTAAATCGACCCTGTAATGGTGCCCGAAGCAAGAGATGAATTGGTTCCTCATACCTGTGATGTAAGAGAGGATAAAGATGTAGAGAGGACTATGCTCGCCCCTTTTGCTGTTGTGGGAGTTGGTGTTGTGTAAGTTTTTGCTCAATTTTTCATCCATTGTTCTTCAACACAAAGTCTCCTGTCATAACTCTGACAATCACACATAATGTTTGTTACTTCGCTTGTTGTTTCCAGGAAAGGATTCAGGGTAAAGGAGAAGCTGAAGCAGATTCGAGCTGCTTCAACTTGAAACACAAAACCAAGAGGTCCAAATGAGTCCACCATTCGAGCTATTGGACTATAATCCTGTTATCTTGTAAGATGAACTCTGTGAATACTAAATTGTAATGTGATCATTCCTAACTAAATTTAGGATGCACATTTCCCGTCCACTCTGAATGAATGTATCTAACAAAGTAGTAGTAGTAACTATCCGACACCTCAGAAATAAAACGTCGTCTTCTGCGTCCGACATTGAATAGTAGCGCCCCCATTTCTGGCACATGCTTACTGAGAGATATGGTGGTGTTGTCAGCAGCCAAGTAACAGATGATGATGCTAAACAAGGTACGGAAGTCGTTGTACCTTTGAACTCTTCCACTCTGTAATGCTCTGTTCCATTGTACCTGGCCGTAAGTTGATACGATGTATAGCAGCAGCAGGTCCGGTCCGTAAGACAAATGCTACCACAAATGAGTATCTCCCATGACACTTGTTGACTGCATATTTTGCATGCTGGTGTGTGTGTATGTAGACTGGATATCGTCGTCATTGTGTTACTGAAAAAGCACGTTTGAAAAGGAAGGGGTAAGCTGAATATTTTATTAATGACCAGAAGACTCTGAAAAAGTAAAACAGACCATAGTTCAGTGGGATTATGTGAATATACATAGGTGACTATTTCGGTGCACTCACAAAAATAAGTGCGTTCAATGCACCCAACTTAAAAGTTAGTTTGAAGATGTCGGAATTTGAATTTGAATTTGTAGAACTAGTGTAATATGATGATATAACATATGATAACAACTAATTAGCAAATTACCCTAACCCTAACCATAAATCTCTAAACTCTGAATCCTTCAAATTAAAGTAAATGGTTTTTGTGCAAATTCATGTGCGTTATTATTTATCATATCATAAGTGATGATTGATATCATTTTGACATAAATGCGCGTAATAAAAGGAAATGAATCAATCTGTTGCAAACAAAACAGAGCCCTCCTCAGGTTGGGATGAGATAGCATGTCTACCCATAAAAGGGTTGGCAAAATGACAACCCCTATTAATTATAGGTTTTTAAGGTAATTAATTTGTGTTGCATTTAATAATCTGTATGAATTAAAAACACATATTAATTACTTTCCTTTTTTCAGTGCACTGGTAGTTGTATCAGTGCACTGGTAGTTGTGTACAGGTGCAATGGTAGATGTATCACTGCAATGGTAGTTCCAAAAAAGGAACGTAATTAATATGAGTTCAGTATACCAGTGCACTGATACAACTACCAGTACACTGAAAAAGGAAAGTAATTAATATATGTTTTTAATTCATACATATTATTAAATGCAACACAAATTAATTACCTTAAAAACCTATAATTAATAGGGGTTGTCATTTTGCCAACCCATACAAGGGTTAGCATGCTAACCGATCCCCCTCAGGTTGAATCTGCGCTATTGACGTTTAGGGGGGGGGGAGAGATTCAGCACTCAGCAGTAGCTAGCCTCCTCCTTTTATCTTATCTGCGTATAGCGTACTTCATCAAGCAAATGGGCCCCACAGTGTTGGGCCCTGCTGCGCCCCTAAACTTCTGAAAGTTTTTCTCGAGTTATGTATAATTCTTTTTTTAATGGTTGGAGAGCTATATATAATTATTAGGTGGAGTTGCTAAAAACAAATTAAGCTAAAAAAAAATTATTATTACATGAATGGTCACTCAACATTGGAGCCAGTAATAAATTAGTCACAAATTTCATTTTTCTAATAAATAATTTAACGTATTTATCTCAATACCTGAATGGTCCCTTCCGATTTTTATACTCAATTTTCCAAAATTTTCAATGAAATTCTCCGTTATATAAAAATAAAACATTATATAGACTTTGAATTAACTACATTTCGAGGTATTGTAAGATACTTTATATCCAATTTGAGTAAATTTTAATTATTCCTTATTCTCTAAATTCTATATCCTAGGATCAATTTATTTAAAAATAACGATCAAACGATTATGATTCTTTGGAATACACAACATATTAAATTCACCATTTTAGAGTTAAGGTTCACATAACTAAGACCTACTCATTAGAGTTTAGAGTATAATATAATATTCCAAAATTTGGTTAGTTCAAAATGAAGATAAGTTTTTCTTCTTATACTAAGGATATCTAGTACTCTCATATTTACCATGAGTATTATGAAATCCATCTTGCACACTTACTTAAGTTTTCTATGATCGTATAGACTTGTGGAATATAATTAACCGTTATAAATGCGCTGATACGGATCGGAAAACCGCCGGAATCGAGAAAACAAGAATATGAAAGCGAGAATCGAAAATAAACACACTATTGACGTGGTTCACTAACACAATATGTGTTAGCTAGTCCACGGGAATGGGAGAGCCAGTTTCGCTATATCGAGGAGATTACGGATTATAGAGGATATGAGAAGTATTTGTACTTCTCCATAGGGGTGGATTTTCAGTTATTTCGGTTATAACCGGTAACCGAACGGTCGGTTATCGGTTAACCGAAAGGCAGGCCGCCCAACCGACAACCGACCGAAATAGGCTTCGGTTATCTCGATTATCGGTTAACCGCACCTCCTCCAAGACCAAAATCATCTCGTCCAGCCTCTGATAACCGACCAAATTTTGGTTAATCGGTTACCGATTAGTGGATAACAAGTCGGTTATCGGTTTAACCGACTGGTTAACCAGAAACCGGTAACTGAACCTCCACCTCTACTTCTCCATGTGGGTCTAAACCTAATCCAATATGGTAAAGAAAACGGTTACAAACCAGTACCAAAACTAACAACCCAAACGTGTATCGACTCATACATTGTAACTTCCAGTCAGCACCGTAAGAATTGAAAGAATTACATTTTAAGCACCGAACTACAACATACTTTAGAGTTGAATGAGCGATGACGCATACATAATCTTTCAAACACATTTGTAAATAATACATGTGACAAATGATGAATGTATTTTAAAAGCGGGTGAAAGATTGTAAGAAACTAATTAAAGTCATCTTATAAATTTTCTTCTTACATATATCATACGACCCACCTTAAATGAAACCTTTTGGCTACGCCATTGTCTTTCTATGCATCTACGACTACACACGGCAAACTCATCGAAGCTAACAATACAAACGTATACAGCCATGTATATGATCAGCATAAGATTTTCTCATCATAGTTAGCCTGCAGGACTAATATATAGTTACAAATTTATCATTTAAGATGGATTGAATATGAGTTGAAATAATGTATGGTTCGATTTGTGAATATTTGGATAGTTGCTCCGAATTATATAGTGACAAATTAATAAGTACCCAAATTTAAGTGATCAGTAATGTAATTGACCTCCTGTCCTCCTCCCTTTTTCTTCTCTTGTGTGTGAAGGCATTAAATCCCTGAAGCTGCTGCTGCTTCACCAGCATGCATGCTTACATATACATGATTGCCAGTTTGCCACCTCGTACAGTTTGAGTTACATTGAGTGATACGGAATTCCCCACGTGTATCAAAAAGCCGAAACCACATCGCCATGAAAGTAAAAGGTTGAAGGCAGCCGTACGTTGGTGGTGTGTGTTAAAAATATTCCTGTTTTGTCCTTTTGGGAATGATACATTCCTCTTTTCTCTTGATCTCACCCTTTAATTTCTCACGGCCTTATCCTCCCCCCAACCTAAACCTTAATCCCTTCAACCCCAAACCATTGAAATTTGAAAGGTGCTTAATTAATTGGGGAGTGTGCTTAGCTTGCTTACTTAGTCTTTATATACCCACTTCATTACAGAGATGGTTGATCCCCTATAGTTTGCCTAAACCAAGATGTTTATGTCATTGCAATTAACTCGAGATTCATTTCATTGATGTCGTAGTTGTAATGTTGAATTACATGTAGTCTATAACGATGTTATACTTATTATCAATCATGTGTCATATTACACACAGATTACGCGACAAATGTTATTCAAACCCACCTATTAGTTTCAAAAGTTTGGGGCGTGCAACAATTAGCTCATGCCCATTGCTCGACACAAGTTCGCTTACATATCCATTTTGAATGAAGCAGGACCTAAAACTTGAGGAGATGGAGCTCTAATCAAGTAATCAATTCATCAGAAGAGAAAAACCAAATAGTTAGTTAAGTAGGCCGCCTTAAATCATTTCTTACGCTGCTGGCTGGCTCCTCGTTCTTTTTACCATAATAATGCCACATGAGCTGCCGCTTAGGGACAAAGTCCACTCGGCAAAGAGGGGGGGATAGTAGCTTAGCAACAGAATCCGTTTTGTGTTTAGCTGCGGACACGATTCCCTTCCCGCCAAGTCTCCGCCCCCACAGCAGCCATCTGTAACCCCCACGTTTTCAGGCCTTGTTTGGTTTGCTGGATTGTTCGGGAAATGGCCAACATTTTAGGTAATATTCCAAACTTTTTTTCGACGAAGATATTGTTCGTTTTGGGCCTCGATTATCACAGTTTTTGACTTGAGGTGCAATTCAAGGTAACTTTTTATAAGATTTCTCATCCTTGTTGTACTCCACACTGAACACGTTTAACTTCAAAGTTCTCACAAGAACTCCTCCATCTCACTCTAAAACGCGTCTTGTCAGTTAATGCCGATTTCCTACTTATTAACCATGGATCTCTCCCGTACTTTGTCGATGTGGAATTCGCCTAAACTGTTGCATTTTATTTTATGCGTGGTTCGCAAACCACCCATGAAAACCCATTATGATGGGATGCATCGTGTGCTGTTTGGTTATGCATTTGTGAAGGTGGATTTTGGTACTTGGGCCGATATCACGATAATATTGTACCAACACATTTTCTTAATGCGTATTTAGAAATGGTGATTTGTCATTCGAAAAAACCTATGAAGTAATATTTTGTATCGTTAAATACAACAAACTATTTTTTGTATAAATTCGAGTATTGAAACTAAATGATTTGTTTATTAAACATGGTATCATAGTTTGTTTGTTGTTAATGTCATGTGTTCAAACTTCAAATCCTCACTAATCACTTGGTGTTACAAACCTGTACAAATTTCAAATTCATGAATTTCATTTCATTCGAAAAGAAGATACAAGAAAGTGATTACATAACATTATAGATCTCTCTCAACAATACCTAACAAACTAAGTGATGAGGCGTCTGCTAGCCTACCATCCTACCACTTTTCAATATGCCATTTACCATACTGCCACGACTGAATATATTTCTTATCTACTTTTTTTTTATTTTCCTAGTTACAAAATTCCAAAGCCAAACAATGCCTTCCTTTGTTTCCCATTTCCCGTCTTATCCTTCTACATCCCCTTCATTATAAATACGTAAAATCCAGCGCCCTCCTTCCTTCGTCCCAAAACAAACTCTCCTGCCTTATCACCACCTTTCATCATCTCTCCCTCCATCACATCACCACGGCCACGTCATCACCGTCCACCATGGCCGAACCCGGGTCTGACAGTTCCAAGCCGCCGCAGCAGCCACAAGTCCGTAAGCCGCCGGCCCAGGCCAGCTCGAGAAAAGGCTGCATGCGGGGGAAAGGCGGGCCCGAGAACGCACTCTGCACCTACAAGGGAGTCCGCCAGAGGACGTGGGGCAAATGGGTCGCCGAGATCCGCGAGCCCAACCGCGGGGCCCGCCTCTGGCTCGGCACCTTCGACACCTCCCACGAGGCCGCCCTAGCCTACGACGCCGCGGCCCGCAAGCTCTACGGGCCCGAGGCCAAGCTCAACCTGCCCGAGCTGCTGCTCCAACAACAACACCACCACCAAGCCAACAGCTCGGGCAGCTTCGGGCAGGCCCCACCTTTTGCTGGGGCTATGGACCCCACACAGTCCCTGAAACCGGAATCATTAAGTTTCGCGGTTTCAGGGACTGTATTAGCTGGCTCTGCTTCTCTCTCCTCTTCTCCTTCTTTGTCCTCTTCCTCGTCTTCCTCCTCCAACAACGTGCCGGCCACCATGGGCAGCTTCGACCTGCCGGCGATGGTGTTCGGCGGCAGCAGCGGCGGCATGGGGTACTCGAATTCGAGCGGGGACGAGGTAGGGGGGAGCGAGTTCTGGTCGAACTTGCACGTGAACTTGCCGCTGTTGGACGATTCCATATGGGCGGAGGCTGCCATGTCGCTGGACTTCCCGATGCAAGAGCCGGCGGGGATGTTCGCCGGAGGGGCGATGGATGGAGGGAGCGGGTGGGACTCGGCCACCACAACTCCATGGTGCATGTAAATTGTAAATTAAACACACTTTCATTTGGAAGACCATAGAAAAGGAACATTAATAGGAGTGATCTAAGTCATGATCCATTAATCAGGTTTAATTACTATCTGATTTGATGGAACGTGTTTAGAAATTACCAGTTAGGAAAAGAAAATAAGGGTACGTAAATATATCAAACGTGTATAAATTGTTATATATATATTCCAACAGAGTGTGTAAATAAATAGTATAGAAAATAGGCAAATCTAGTGGCAGTTGTATGATACGAGGAAAGCCCGCCATCTTCTGATTTGTTTCTGCTGGCTTTCTCAGTCTGTTCCCTCTCTGTGTTCGTTCAGTGTAAATATCTGTCAAGTTTCAGTAGTTGTTCTTGGTTGTAACGTTCTTGTACGTAAGGGGAAGCTTATGATAGAAATCACGTGTGCTTGAACAGCTCCCACGTGCTTAATATTTGGACTGAAGTGTTGGTTACCTATAAAATTGCACCTTTGTGTACTTTCATCGTACCATATCGAACCCATCGACATCAATATTCACTATGGTTGTCCAGTTCAGGTGTTGATCTTAAATGGAACCAACGAAAGCGAAAGATTGATCCTCAATTCATCTTAACATGCACGTGAAGATTTACAGCACTCTTTTTTTATTTCAAGTCAGTTACTCGTGAAAGTGAAACCAAACCCAACAGTTTATGCATTCCCTGTAACTTCGATCATACAATACAACAGTGTTGCATGCTTGTGTAAGTGGGAAATGGGTGGTTCTATCCCATTAACTCGGATGGTAGACATTCCCCTTAGCTTGCTCTCATTGCGCGGGAATTGAGCCAGTTCAAATCGCGGCAGCCTGCGATTCAGCCAAGGGCTTCCAGTACCTGTTGAGCAGCCACAAGGAATCGGCCTCGACAGCATAACCATCTTGATTCCGATGCCAGCCGAAGTAGGCGTGTGTTCTGTTCTTTATGTCCAGGATTCCATGTCCGAAACTTGGTTCTCGGAAGGCCGAGTAAGCCGGCTGTGGCTCCATCATGCTTCACAGAACAAAAAGGAAATAATCCATGAGTCATAAAAATGGTTAATGTATACAGTGGAGGGCAATCCTATTGAAAGAGTGAGAGAGGGAGAGTTCTACTCTGTAACCAATCCTTCAAGATTCCCTCCATCTCCTATGGTGATGTGGACCGGAGCGGATTGATCCTCAACTGGAGTGCAGCGTGCGTTAACAATGTCGTACGCAATGTTTGATACGCGTTCCTGGAGACGAAGACCATATAAGAGCATTATTATGATTGATGGTTACATGGTCTATGTTACAGATGGACTTTAGGGGAAGGGGGAAAATGAAATACGTGACTAATGAGTATGCATGATCCGATCCAGTCCAAAATAGAACCCGAATCAGCATAAAAGTATAACAAGAAAACAGGCTTCTCTTTTCTTTAATTGAACCCGATATTGAATACACACAGTGTGAACTAAATTGCTTCACGTTCTTGTGTCAAACCTACCAAACATCATCAATTTAAGATGTACATATTGAAGCTACCTCCGTTTCTGGAAAGCATGACATCAATCCATAAGACAAGGACAAACCTTTTTAAGGGGGGAAAAAGGACAGTAGTGTGACAACTTGCTATTTGGAAAGGAAACTACACACTGTCTATTCTTCCAACCACAACCACAAATTTCTGAATTTAGACTCTAGTCAATACAGAAGACGCGTCTAGAGGAAAACATGACACCGCGCGAAAACAAGTTCAACGCGAACCAAAACCACCCATCGGATATAGGATGCAAACAGGTTAGGAAAGAGGCGAGAAAGAGTAAATGTGTACTCACAGATCGTTCGTAAGCATGAACGTGTCCGGCAAAGACAGCATCAACTTTGTATTGTACAAACCATTGCTCGTACATCACTCGCATGGTTTCGCCTTCCATATAGTGGTGCCCATAGCTATGATAGAATGGACTGTGCATGATTACTATGAGCCATGGTGTCTCTGTCCTGTTCACTTTAGGCAGCTCCTCTTCTAGCCACTTGTATTGGGGAGTGTACTTCCCTGCAACAAAGGAAGTTTACTTAAATTCACATATAATCTTCCATCTCTATGTTTGAATATGCCAAATTAAGACAGTTTGAAATGAAGATTAAAAGCAAAATTCACTGCCTACAACGCATAATAAGCCCAGAAGCTCAGATCTATGATAGTACGATTACCATAAGCAGAGTAGCTGGAGAGGACAATAATGTAAGCAGAAGCCCTCTTAACAGAGTACCACAGTGGAGATGTACTGCCTGATGCTTTATATGGGACATGATAACGGCGCAAGTAAGGCTTGAAGGGTTTGGGTTCACCCTGCAGTTAAACACCAAACAACCATTTTGATCATCCATCCCGTACACAAAATGCATACCTGAATATCAAGAGCAAAGGAGACTTTGAGGGAGGTCATATTTACATTGGCAGGGAGAAAATCAAGTTCATGATTTCCTGCTGTCCAGATAGAAGGTTGATACGCAACCAATCTCTCAGTAAACCTTCCCCATGTATCCCACCTCGTGTTGTCATGCAACGGATAAGCATCAGCATAGGAGAGGTCACCCACAAACAGCAATGTCTTTGGCTCCCTAGGATTGGATAGATAGTGATCAATTGTCCGGTTCGAATCAGGGGTTTGACCCAGATCACCAATGAGGCCAAAAGTATAAGGGACATCAGGGCCTGGTTTAGGAGGTGTTGTGAACCAGAATTGCCTGGTCGAGTTGCTGCCGATCCCAACCTCGTAGTAGTACTTGGTGTCAAACTGTAAAGTTCATGTACAGAAACATGGTCATGAGATTCACAACAGTTAGAATACACCTATCCAGGCCCAGCTGCCAACTTTCTCAGTGAATTATCATATGGATCATGTATATACCTCCAGGCCTTTAATGGTGCAGTGATGAATGTAGCCAGAAGTATAATTGACATACTTGTACTTCACAACAATTCCTTCAGCACGACTCTTTAGTTTGCTGCCTTCAGCCCAGTACTCAACTGTATTTGAGCCAGGCTCGTCTTGAGTCACCCAAGACACCAAAATCCCTTTACCTTCATGGTCTCCTTGTGTAATGTGGACCTTCACAGAACATTTCAGAAAAGAAAATCAAGACAAACAAATTTTACCTAAACTTATTTTGTATTCACTATAAACAGAAATAGGATGAATCAAGGAAAAATTAAAAGTCACTTTCTTCAAAGGGGTTGAATTGGATGCTCAATTGATCATGAGTATATAGATATCAGCAAACTGAAAATCCAATGCCAAACATAGAAAATCTGTTCTAGTTCCATTTATTGGGATCAAGGCAGAACATGCAATCAAAGTCAGGAACTTTCGAGTAAGTTGTCGTCTGGGATCCTGATTAACTAATCAGATCTTCAGTACACAAGCAGTTGTTTTGCTTCTTTAATTGGATCCAACTGCAAAAGAAGTTCGCAGCAAAAGTTAAAGAAGCAGGTTTACCTGTTGAGGAGCATTGTAACCGGGTGGGATTTTGAATACATCGCTGTCTAGCGGCATATCATGAACCAAATCAGAGTTTCTGACGAAAGTGCTGGTAATACCGCCATTGATGATCTCTGCAAAACCCAATACCACAGCCAAACCCAGTATAACCCAGTTCCTCCCCATCTCTGTGCCGATTCCCTGCTCGTTTCACAGATACCCAGAACCCTTATTGAATCATTTAAAAAACCATATCCAGTGCTTAAAAATAATCGAAGTAATGGGGGATGGGCGCCATGGAATATTCATGGTTTAGATGCTGAATGGGTTTCGTCTAAGATTGTCAGGCAAGCGACATCGTTTCGTGAGTTTGCTTGCTGCATCGCGATTCGTGGAGACTAGGATATACACGAAATCGAGCTGGTTTCCGTTTGACTTTTCAAGAGCCGCGAAAGGAATGGGAACTCTGAAGTCTGAAGGAAACCTCGTTGACGTCGACGACCCGACTGCCGGCGGTGGACCGGATTTCACGATTTGGGAACAAAGGAGAAGATCCAATGGGCTGCTGTTAGCTGGCCCATTTGGAACGAGTACGTTACCTGATGCTCCTTGGGCTTCAGTTGGATTTTCTGATCCAGTTGGCAAGTGTTATTTTTGTGCCTTTTGTTTTGCACATAAAGTGGATATGTGCCCAAATGAATGTCATCATCCTTAGTCCTTACAAGCCAAATATCTAGTAGCAAAGTTACTCTCTCTACACATGGATATCACAACCTCTCAATCATAACTTTAAAACGATCCAATTTGATGCGCCCGAAGGTCACGTGGTGGTCATTATTTTTGCATTTTCTGATGATTTTGATGGTTGTGGTGATTCTAGATTCACCTTAACTTTCTTGTACTTTCTCTCCCATGCAATTCTGAGCCTTTCGCAATGCTTTTCAGTTTCTCCCTTGCACCAGAGCAGCTTCTCAGGTGACATACGAAAGCCTCCATGCATTAGTTGAGGTGATCCCTTAGCAATCGCCCCCTTAGCATGCTCTATCTGAGTAATGAGTAACGACGAATTCCTCGATTTGTACCTGAATCCATCATTCTTCAGGAGGGTTCCAACTAACTTGCACGATTTTCACGAGTTGAATTTGTTGGAAGGATGATATTTTCCACTCTTTGTTATGCTGGTGTAGCAATATCAAACTATATAAAGATCCTTTGAATTAACCCTACTTCAGAATATCCGTACGCCAACATAAATTACTGAAATCTACCCAATTGTCAACATCCTTCAAGTTACCACTTAGCCAATTCGGAATGTCAACATTATAACATGACTAGCGCAGGGCCCGGCCCGTTGGGCGGGTAAACTAAAGTGTTAATACCTTAGTTTGGCCCGAACTATACACATACTTCTACTTTGGCCCGAATTATTGAATATTGCTACTATGGCCTGAACTATGTAGCAAACTTCCTCATATGGCCTGGAGGCGCGTTTGACCGTCAAAACAGACGGTCAACCAAGTTGACCGATGTCAATATACACATCAGCTGCCACGTATACATTAAAAATTATATTTTTTTTTTTACAAAAAATAAAAAATAAATTAATAACTCTAAAATAAAAAAGGAACGGAAAATAAAAGAAAAAATAAAATAAAATAAAAAAACCCATCCCTATCTTCCCGCATCGATTCGTATCGGGAATTACCTCCCCCCTTTCAGACCCATCGTCTACCCCCAACTCCCTTCCATCTGCATTTGCCGGAGAATCTTCGAGAATCGCCCAGCAACCGAGGACTTGAGGCGGGGGCTCAGATTCTTCCTTCCCTTCGGAGGCTACTGGTTCGTGAGAGCTAGATCCACTGTTATCTCGCGATTGGAGGCCTGGAAATCGAAGAGCTCGGACGAGGACTTGGGGCGGGGATCGTTTATTCCACCGTCGCCAATTCCGCCGTCAGAGACGCTGCTAACGGAGACGAGCTCGTCGACGTTTCCATTCTCTCTGAGGAAGAGGAGGCAATATTCCCCTACTGAGATTTCCACCTCCACCGAGCTCGACCTTTCGTTCAGATCTGAAAGGAAGCAACGCACTGGTGAACATCGCTTCGGTGTTGAGGGGTGATTCGGCAGCCTCGCACACTAACAAGGAGAGTTCGACTAGCGCAGGCAGTAAAGCCTTAGATGCGTAGATCCGGCACGAAAGGGGAACTCGAGGAACGCCGGGGCCGGTTACGGAGAGGGAGAAGATTAGGGTTCTTGACGTGAAGGGGAACTTGGGGAGAGGAAGGGTCAAGAAATGGGGTCGGGTCAGTAGTGGGTTTGAACTTTGATGTGGAGATATTTCTGAGAATCGCCCAGAATTCGTCGGGGAAGGGAGTTGGGGGTAGACGATGGGTCTGAAAGGGGGGAGATAATTCCCGATACGAATCGATGCGGGAAGATAGGGATGGGTTTTTTTTTATTTTTTTTCTTTTATTTTCCGTTCCTTTTTTATTTTAGAGTTATTAATTTATTTTTTATTTTTTGTAAAAAAAAATATAATTTTTAATGTATACGTGGCAGCTGATGTGTATATTGACTAACGGTCAACTTGGTTGACCGTCTGTTTTGACGGTCAAACGCGCCTCCAGGCCATATGAGGAAGTTTGCTACATAGTTCAGGCCATAGTAGCAATATTCAATAATTCGGGCCAAAGTAGAAAGTATGTTGTTTGAACCTAACTGAGTGTAGGAGTGAGGTTCGAATGAGAGTTTGGGTCGAGAAGAAACGTGAGAGCCGGGTTTGATCGGGGGAATCAGAATCAGAGAGAGAGAGTGAGAGAGAGATTAGAAAGAGAAGTAGTTCTTGTAGAGAGAGAATGGTGAAAAATGCGATCCCCTTCACCCACCGGAGTAAATGCCATATTTATAGGCTACATGGAGGTGGGTGAACGGGTGGATTACATGATGGGACTTTTGACCCCTGATGTGACCATTGACATGTCAGGGATTTAGGTCATCCCCCTACCTAGGACCTGTCTGGGGTGTACCTACGACTATGTCTCTGATCCCAATGCGGCCGGCCCTTGGGAAGTGTGCGAGGGAGGCTTCTTGCGGCTTTGTGGCTCGCGGCGCGTCGGGGCTCCCGCGCCTTAACCCCTTTCCACTCGCGCGCAGCTTGTGGAGGACTCTGAGTGCGCGCGCGTCATTTCTCTCTACTCGCGCGCCTACAAGCCTTCGTGCGCGCCCTATCTCAGCGCGTCTTGCCTTGGCGATTAAGCCCGAGTCACATGCCCAACAATTGCCCCCCATCAGAGGGTGTTCTGAGGACGCCCTCTGTTTAGGTCTTTGCTTGATTGACTCGGGCCCGGGGCGCGGTTCTTGGGATTCTTTGTGCGCGCCTGGCCGTTCCGTAGCCGCGTTAGAATATCAGTTGTAGTCGTCTGATAGTGCGCGCCGGTCGTGGGATTCTGATTCACTTGAGATGCGTGCGCGATCTTCGCGGGATTTTTTTTTCTTTTTCCTCGCGGGTGTGCCATGCCCCCCAGGCGCTGTGCGTAACTAGTTATGTCAGCGGCTAGAGCCTACTCCGAATAGGTGTCCACGTGTCCTTACCTGGTTCGTCCGTTTGGGCGGGCGAATTTCGAATTTCGAAATTCGAAACGTCTGACGGTTGCGATTTTCGAGGTTACTTTAACCCTTCAACTTCCCTCTAATAATTATAAGTATCGACCCGTTGTGTGGGTTGGGATTCATTCTGCTTCATTCTTCACATCTGAATTCTGCTCTGTTCTCTCTCGTGTTCTGGTTCATCGCCGTAATTCTTCTTCTTCTTTTACAATCTTGAGCCTTCGATCCTTGTTCTTGTTGCTGTTTCTTGCTATCATGGACAACATCAACACCAACGCCGGCGAGGTTGAGATCGTACACGACGAAGAAGGTAATGTTTCCCCCCTTTCACGTGTTTCTTCTGATCCGTCGCTGGAATTGGCGAACTCCGGCGATGAGGACGGTGGTGTGTCCGGGGACGGCGGGGTTCCGTTGACGCCGTCGGGGCGAGTCGACTCGGATTCCGATTTTCTCCTTGAAGAGACAGAGGTAGAGGTAGATGGAGATACCGGTCCGAGTACCCGGGCCCAGGGCGTCTTAATAATCCGACGCGGGCGCGACGGGGGGTCCGGGGGAGCTGGTACTGCGGGCGCGGCCGAGCGCGAAGAGCGCGAAGATTCCGATACACAATCCGCGCCGATCATCGCTGAGCCCGTCAACGTGGTGCGCGTGACCGAGGCAATGAGCCGCCTTGGTCCCCGTTGCGTGGACGCGGTCTACACCGTCTTGGATTGGGCAGAGATGTGGGGCGATCAGCCGGCTCCGCATGATAACTTGCTGCGGGGGCCTGACCATTCTTCGATTTACACGCGCGAAGACGTCGAGGATATTGTGCGCGGGTTGGGCTTGCCTCCGCATTGGGAGTACGCGGTGCCTTCCGTTAGGAGCACGGTTGGCAATTGCCCCCCAGGGTGGTTCGGGGTTTATACTGAGTACTGGGTGATGGGCTTCAAGTTTCCCATCGACCCATTGTTGTGCGCCTTATACAGGCGTCTCGACTGCTCAGTTGGACGCCTTTCCCCCTCTATTATTATGCACGTCTCGTGTCTGCGCCTTGCCTGTAAGCGGCTCAACATCCAGCCCACGTATGGGCTGTTCCGCCAGTTCTACAAGATCAAGGAGCCCAGTAAGACAAGCGACTGCCTGTCCATAAAGCGGCGCGATAACAGGCCTGACGGGTTCGTGTATGGTTCTCCCAAGCTGAAGAAGACATGGTTTGAGCGCTTCTTCTACGTCAGGCCAGTGGCGGGGGAGTGGGCGAGTGAGCGCGTGGATGAGCCCACGGTGTGGAAGAAGGGTTCTACCAAGAAGTTCGAGTCGCGCGTTGACTCGTATGATGGGCTTGATCGGGAATATCAAGCCTGTTTGAATCAGAAGATGAATCTTTACACGCGCGGAGTTCGCGAGGCCATCTTGCAAGAGCTTTTTGCTGATGGTTAGTTATTTTCTTTTCCCTTTGTATTCTGTCATAATTAACAGGTTTCTTACGATATTTTGTTGCAGGCGTCGATTTTGCCGACCTCGCGAGCATGATGTCGGTGGACAATGTTGCGAGGGCGCCTCGCGCATCGCGGAAGGGGAAGAAGAAGCAGAAGGAGGGGGCGCAGAGTAGTAACGCGCCAGCTGGCGGCTCTAAGAGGAAGGACCGAGGGCAACCCAGCAGTGCTCCCGCGAGTGGCGGGAAGCGAAAGGAATCGGCGTCGGAGAAGGAGCCGGCTGGTGGGCACCCGCAGAAGGCTGCGCGGGTTATGGACCCGAAGGAGCGGATCACGTCAGTGCCGGAGACGCGCGTGCAGGAGGCGCGCCAGCAGCCTTTGGTCGTTGCCGATCCGGCGGGGCAGGTGGATAACTCCCCCCTC